GGTTTAATTATTATTTTTTATGATAAGGGCACGAGTTGAAAAAATTGCCGAAAAAGTAGCTAGCGCCGAAAAAGTCATCAAAAAGTTGGCGGCATCCAACTGTGGCAGTGAGTTGGATAAATATGTGATATTGAATAAATAAGTGACATGTGTATGCATTTGAATAGATAGTTGGACATTTAAACATATAGGTAATACGTGTACACATTTAAACACATAATTTGACAAATATGTGACACATGTATAAATAGATAAATTTTAAAAAATAGGTAATATTTAAACAAATAAATAAATGGTTAAGTTTTTAAACAGATTATTAAACCTTTAAAAAACAACATGTTTTTTTGGACAAATAATGTCCTTTTCAGAACAAAAAATCGCTATATTAGTTCCACAATAGCAACATCTATTTCTATAATAGTGACATACTGTGCTAGAATTTAAACAACCATAAGAAAACTGGTTTCACCATAAGTATTTAGACCATTACAAATTAAAACTAAAAACTAACAAACAAAAGTAATAAAAGAAGATATTATACGGTTTTATGTTTGAGTTTAGATTTTATATAGAATAGGAGAAGATACTATGGGGAGGATGTATAATAAAAATATATACTATTTGTATACGGTACGGATCGGTTCCAATCCGGAACCGTGGGATTCAATCCGGAACCAATCCGTGTACTACGGATTTTTAATTTTTCAATCCGGAACCGAACAACGGATTCAAAAAACCAATCCAAACCTATCGGATTGGACTGGACTGGATCGGATTACGGATTTCACGGATTCCTTGCTCAGCCCTATCAAAAAGTTGGCGGCATCCAACTGTGGCAGTGAGTTGGATAAATATGTGATATTGAATAAATAAGTGACATGTGTATACATTTGAATAGATAGTTGGACATTTAAACATATAGGTAATACGTGTACACATTTAAACACATAATTTGACAAATATGTGACACATGTATAAATAGATAAATTTTAAAAAATAGGTAATATTTAAACAAATAAATAAATGGTTAAGTTTTTAAACAGATTATTAAACCTTTAAAAAACAACATGTTTTTTTGGACAAATAATATCATTTTCAGAACAAAAAATTTAAATTTGAATATATTGACTCAACAATTTAAAAAATGAACCCTGGCTTGTGTTTATAACAAAATATATATAATTATTTTTATTAAATTAATAAAATAAAATATTTTCAAATTGTTTTTATGCCAAAACTCCACGTGTATGAATAAAATTATTTTATTTAATTTAAGGATAAATTACACTTTACTCTTTTTATATTTGGTTAGTTTTTCATTTTGACGTTTTAAATTTAATTTTTCTCACTTTGGTTTTCATGTTTCAAGTTTTTTATACTTTACTTTTAAGGTTAATTTTTATTCAAAATTAGACAAAAAATTTCACAATAATTATCACATAATAATAAAAAATATATTATTATATTATAGTTTAAATCTATGTTAGAAGTGTGAAATATGTATAATAAAATATTTTTATACCGCTTAATTAACAATGTATCATTTTCTGACTAATTTTTAACAAACATTAACTTTAAAAATAAAGTAGAAAAAACTTAAAATATAAATGACCAAAATAAATATAAAAAACATTAGAAGGCCAAAATAAAAAATAATGGTAAATTACAAATACACCACGTGAGTTTGCTTAAAATACAAATTGCCCATGTGATTTAGAAAATTACAAATACTTCATTGTCAGAATTTTTTATGTAATAAAATTAACTAAAAAAATGAAATTCATAATTGGTTTCCTATAAAATAATAAAAGGGATTTTTATTGATAAATCCCATTTAGAAGTGTTTTAATCCAAGAAATTCATGAAGGAATTTTTTAACCCATTTAGTCCTATGTATGTATAGTTTTATTCCATAAAGTCCTTTTTCTTGATTTACACTATTTTCTTGGACACTTATGCCCTTATATTTAATTTTGATACTCTTATAAATATTTTTTGAACAGTTAGCAATTTTATGATGTGAACATTCATATTTTAAAATTCACATTGGTAGGAATGTAAAATTGGCCCGTAGGCGGCCGGAAACTCGCCCGCGAAGCCGGGGGGGCCCGGCTCGTTGACAATGTGAATATTCACATTGACATGTTAACATTCACATTAATAGGAGTATAAAATTAGCCCGCGTCCTGTGACGGCGCGAAACTTGCCCGCGGTCCATGGGGGGCTCAGGGCGGGCCTGGTCCGGCCCGTTGACAATGTGAATATTCGCGTTGACATGTTAACATTCACATTGATAAGAGTATAAAATTGGCCCGCGGCCAATGGGCGACCAAAAGCCGGCCCCCGCCGCTCAGGGCGGGCTCGGTCCGGCCCGTTGACAATGTGAATATATTCACATTGACATGTTAACATTAACATTAATAGGAGTGTAAAATTGGCCCGCGTCTCGTGGCAGTGTGAAACCCGCCCGCGGCCCATAGGTTGCCCGGGGCGGGCCCGGTCCGGCCCGTTGACAATGTGAATATTCACATTGATATATTAATATTCACATTGATAAGAGTATAAAATTGGCCCGCAGCCCATGGGCGGCCAAAAGCCCATCCGCTGCTCGGGACGGGCCCTTCCCGGCCAGTTGACAATGTGAATATTCACATTGACATGTTAACATTTACATTGATAGGAGTGTAAAATTAGCCCGCGCCTCGTGAATGTCCGAAACCCGCCCACGGCCCATGGGCGGCCCGGCCCGTTGACAATGTGAATATTCACATTGATATGTTAATATTCACATTAATATGAGTGTAAAATTGGCCCGCGTCTCGTGGCGGCGCGAAACCCGCCCGCGGCCCATGGGCAGCCCGGTCCGGCCCGTTGACAATGTGAATATTTAAATTGACATGTTAACATTCACATTAATAAGAGTATAAAATTGGCCCGTGCCCCGTGGTGGCGCGAAACCCGCCCGCGACCTATGGGCAGCCCGGGGCGGGCCCAGCCCGACCCGGCCTGTTGACAATGTAAATATTCACATTGACATGTTAACATTCACATTGATAGGAGTGTAAAATTAGCCTGCGCCCTGTGGTAGCCCGAAACCCGCCTACGGCCCGTGGGCGGCCCAGGGCGGGCCCGACCCGTTGACAATGTGAATATTCACATTGCCTGTTGACAATGTGAATATTCACATTGACATGTTAAAATGCACATTGATAGGAATATAGAATTGGCCCGCAGCCTGTGGGCTGCCCAAAGCTCGCCCACGGCCCGGGGCAGGCTCGTTTCGGTCCAGGCCCGAGCATGTCCGAGACTCTAGGTTAGGGCCTAGGTCATCACTTTTAAGCTCGACCCGGCCCATCGGCCCGCTTAAAGCCCATTCAAGGTTCGGTTCGAGGCCCAGCCCGCTCGAGGCGTAATATATTTTTTTGTGGAAAATAATAAAATTTTGGTAGAAAAAATTGAAAAGAATTAAAAAAAAATGGCTAGGCCCGCCCAATCCCGACCTAAGCTCGAGGCTAGGCCCAGGCCCATCGGCCCGACCCGAGGCTCGATCCATCGGCCCGTCCAAAGCCCGAATACCTTTGTGCCAAGGTTAGGGCATGGGCCTAATTTTTTGGCCCGTGGGCCGAAACGACCTGGCCCGGGAAAGGCTCGTTTGGGCCCAGGCTCGAGCCTAGTCCGAGACCCTAGGCTAGGGCCTGGGCCATCACTTTGAAGCCCGGCCCGGCCCATTGGCCCCGTTAAGGCCCATTCAAGGGTCGGTCCGAGGCCCGGTCCGCGTCGAGGCCTAGTTTTTTTTTTGTGGAAAATAATAAAATTTTGGTAGAAAAAATTAAAAAGAATTAAAAAAAAATTGGCCAGGCCCGCCCCGGGCCGCCCACGGGCCGTGGGTGGGTTTCGGGCAGCCACGAGGCATAGGTTAATTTTACATTCCTATCAATGTGAATGTTAACATGTCAATGTGAATATTCACATTATCAACGGGCCAGGCCGGGCCCGCCCCGGGCCGCTGGCCAATTTTATACTCTTATCAATGTGAATGCTAACATGTCAATGTGAATATTCACATTGTCAACAGGTCGGGCCGAGCTCGCCCCGGGCCGCCCACGGGCCGTGGGTGGGTTTTGGGCAGCCACGAGGCGCGGGATAATTTTACACTTCTATCAATGTGAATGTTAACATGTCAATGTGAATATTCACATTGTCAACGGGCCGGGCCGGACCCGCCCCTGGCCTTGGGCGGACTTTTGGCCGCCCATGGGCCGCGGGCCAATTTTATACTCTTATCAATGTGAATGTTAACATGTCAATGTGAATATTCACATTGTCAACGGGCTGGACCGAGCCCGCCCCGGGCCGCCCATGGGCCGCGGGCGAGTTTTGCACCGCCACGGGACACGGACCAATTTTACACTCCTATTAATGTGAATGTTAACATGTTAATGTGAATATTCACATTATCAATGGTCCGGGCTCGTCCCGACTCGAATTTTTCAGGGCATCCACGAGGATCGACATGGGCCGGGCCCCTACACATTGATGATATGAACATTCACATTGACAATGTGGACTTATTGAAATATAAGAAAATAATGTGAACTAAATGGAACATAAGTAGATGAAAATGGTATTTTGGTCTTCTTATCTCAAATAGGACCTATGGAATAGTAAAAAAAAAATGAGTTAGATGGAATAAAACTCTTAGAAAGTGAATTTATCAAAAAAGCTCTTATAATAAAATTATCTAAATTATTAATTAAAACATATTTATAATATTATTACCCCCAAAAAAAAAAACTCTTGACTACGTGGTCGTGCCAATCATAGTCAATTTTCAACAAATTTAAGAGATCTCAAAAGGGTTTTAAACCAAAAAAAAAAAAAAAAAAAAAAAAACTAAAGGGCAAAATATAATTTATCCTTAATTTAATTTTGTGTACTACAATCGTTGTTGTTAATTTGATTTCATCATAAGTCGTCTCCGGGTCACACTACTCACAAACCTGGGACGCGCACCTATTTATCGAAGAAGACAGCACTTCATTCACCCTTTACCTTCTCTGTCTCACTCTCACCACCCAACAAAACCCTAATAACATTCACACTCTCTGTCTCTCTCTCTCTCTATCTCCTCCATGGGTGAGCAAACTCAAATTCAAACCCAGACCCAACCTCAATCTCAGTCTCACCATGAATCCACTTCTCAATCGCAATCTCAATCTCAATCAACCCCTGAAACAAATCCCCCAAATGATCTTTCCCACAACAACCCCTCAATTTCCTCCAAAATTCCTGTTCGACCCCACAAACTCCGGAAACTCTCCTCCTCCTCCTCCGCCGACGACAAATCCCCCCCAATCGCTGCCACTGCCGCCAACTCATCTCAAGCTCTCACAGTTTTCAAAGACTCAACCACCGTCGCCACCACCACCACCACCACCAACAAGAACAAGAGGAGAAATTCATCGCAATCGGCTAGGGTTTTACCGATCATCATAAAACCCTTATCGGCCTCCGGCGAAATCGACCTCGCCCTCCGCCATCTCCGCGCTGCCGATCCACTCCTCGTTGACCTAATCAACTCTCTCCCGTCTCCCACATTCGATTCTCACCACCCTCCATTCCTTGCCCTAACCAAAAGCATTCTCTACCAACAACTCGCCTTCAAGGCCGGCACTTCAATCTACACTCGCTTCGTCGAGCTCTGCGGCGGCGAAAACCTCGTCCGCCCTGACTCCGTCCTCGCCCTCTCCACCCAACAGCTCCGTCAAATCGGTGTCTCCGGTCGAAAAGCCATTTACCTTTTCGACCTAGCTAACAAGTACAAGACTGGGATTTTATCTGATAATTCGATCGTGGGTATGGATGATAAGTCTTTGTTTACTATGCTTTCAATGGTGAAAGGAATTGGGTCTTGGTCTGTGCACATGTTCATGATTTTTTCGCTGCACAGACCCGATGTCTTGCCCGTGAGTGATATCAGTGTGAGGAAAGGTGTGCAGATGCTGTATAGCCTTGATGAGTTGCCCAGGCCGTCGCAAATGGAACAGCTTTGCGAGAAATGGAAGCCTTATCGGTCCGTGGGTTCGTGGTATATGTGGAGATTAGTTGAAGGAAAGGGGACTCCACAAGCCGGTGCTGCGATCGCTTTGGAGGGTGTTTTGCCATTGCAGCAGCAAATGGGGCTCCAAGAAGAGACACAACAACAACAACAACAACAACAGCAACAGCATCAATTGCAACTTTTGGAACCTATCAATGGCGCTCCGAGCTTCGGGTAGTTGCTCATTTGCTTAAATTATTTACCATATTTTTATATATGTGTGCTATTATTTTAGTTTGGTGCTAAAGATTGTATTGCTGAACTGAAACTTGTCTACTCTGCTTTTAATTGTGGTTGTGGCGTCAAAACTATGTGGTGTGTTATTTTACTATTATTTTGTAAGGGATTGGAACCAATATTTTTTTTGCAAATATATGGTGAAAATGCATTCCATGCTTGAAACAATTATGCAATTCATGATTATGCTGAGTAGGTCCTTGTTTGATTTCGTGGGCTAGATGAAGGAGCCTACACTTCTTGTCTAGATTAATTACATGGATGTGTAAATTAGTTAAAGGAGACCTGGCTAATGTTATCTTCCTGCAATGGTTCTTTACAACACCAGCAAGGTCCTAGTTACTAAGTATCTATAGAATGAAATCAATGTATTTGTTTTATTTCAAAGAATTAAAAGCTAAAACCAGATGGTAATTTCTTGTTACTAAGTATCTCACCCATTTACTGTTCTTGGTTTGATCTTTTTACCCCATCTAATTTTAAATTCATTTGTGTAGATCAGTGGCCACATACATTGTGTGCATACATTAGCTTTTTTGTCAGCCCTCAGGATTGAACTCTAAACTCTCTCCACCACCCATCAAATGCCTTAACCATTGTACTAGGACAACGCATGGCTATCAAAATCCTGATTTTACGATCCATTTGACTAAAATTGATATGGATCATGTATAAAATCCCTCGTAGGCAGGATCTTATTATCTTTGATAATTGGATCTTATATGATCATAGAATCCCGATCTGGATCCTATCCTACCGATCCAACTTTTAAGCATTATTTTGTATTATATGGGCTATTTTCTTGTAAATTTTATGTTTGTTGCCTAAATATCAAATTTACGTGGTCCAAGTAAAAATTGTCATATTAAAGTAAAATAGACTAGGAAAAATAAACTAGTAAAATAGATATTCAAATAGTGTATTAATTTAGAAAAGCTAGCTAGTCAAAGAAACAAACTCATTTCTTCGCCAACTCTATTTTGTCATATAGCTTACGAACTATGTCCAAATTTATCTTTTTTATTTATTTATTTATAACTACTGTAGAATACAATTATATATTTAATTTTATGACACATGTAAAACTATTTTTTCCCTTCTATTTCTTTCTATTCTTTTGAGTTTTCAATATATTTTTAAATCCAATCTTGTTAACTTTTTTCATTTTCCTTTTATGTGCTTTTGTAGTGTAAAGTCTTACATTATAAAACTCGTTTTTTTTCCACCCTTTTTTATGAAATGCAGCATTTCCTATTATTTTTTCTATTGTGTAATATTATATTTACATTTTACATGGAATATTACATTTTTCACAATATTTTCACTATTTTTAGTAGTCATCACTGACTCCCTTTTCTCTCTCTAGAATTTTCTCTTCTCTCTAGATTCTTTCTATTCTCTTTAGAAATTTCTACATCTAGATTGTATATATATATATATATCTTACTCTTGAAGCTTCCTTCACAAACAACAATGGAGCTTTCCAGTTTGCTAAAGTCGGTAATGAAACTATTAGGCCCCATTTGAGAACAGGCTAATTTAGTAACTTTTTGACTATTTGGCTAAAATATGAGCTAAAAAAAACTAGTATGTTTAGGATGGCTTTTTAGCTTTTTACGAAAAGATGTGCAAAAAGTAAAGAGAAAAGAGAATCTTTGACTTTTTGGTATGGGTTGTTGGCTTTTTGGTTAATTTAGGCCCCGTTTGGGAACTTACCTTTTTAGCCAAAAAGCCAAAAAGTTACTAAATTAGCCAAAAAGCCAACAACCCATACCAAAAAGTCAAAGATTCTCTTTTCTCTCTACTTTTTGCACATCTTTTCGTAATTAGCCAAAAAGTCATCCCAAACATACAAGTTTTTTTTAGTTACCTTTTTAGCCAAATAGCCAAAAAGTTACTAAATTAGCCTGTTTCCAAACGAGGCCTTAGTAACTTTTTGACTTTTTGACTAAAAAGTTCGGTTGCCAAACGAGGCCTTAATTGTGTAGGCAAGAAGCTATAGAAGGAAGTATGTTGCACATGAGTGTGTGGGAAGTCATAAAGTGTTTTGTTGTGTAGGAGTGGAAAGTGTGCTATATTCTAGTGTATTGTATACACTATCATAGTGTACAAGTAATTCAACTTTAATAAAAAGGTACTTTGTTGTGATCATATTCAACATAATTTAGGCTTATTTTGTATATATTATGTAAGAAATGTTTATTCAAATTAAATTATATGTAATTTTTCTTGTTCAGTACGATCTTGCAATTTTTGATCCGATTCTGTAAACCTTTCAAACAATTCAATGTAGGATCCTGATTTTAACAACCTTGGGACAACATTCTCTATCCTAGCAAAGCCAAATTTGTGTTCTTAGAACCGTTTTTTAGGGTTGTGTTTCTTGTGTACTTTCACATTTTTGTCCCTGTTTGTCCCTTTTTCTTTTGTCAATATGTCTTATTATAAGAATATTATTAACAATGGCCCTCTTCTTCTTCCTTTTTTTTTGGAAAGTGAGTATTTATTTATTACCAAAAAAAAAAGGTAAGTACATGTTCAAGGAAGGGATTCCTTCCTTTACAAGAGGAGAGGATCTCAAGCAAGATAAATCTAAGAGCTAATGGTGCTCAAAAACATACAAGGGGGAATATTCCAATTCCTACACATTGAAAAATTAAAACCAGAGGGCTTGATTGCATGAAATTGGGACGGCTTAACCCCAACGGTGGCTTGATTGCATGAAATTGGGAGGATTTAACCCCGACAGTATGCTTAATTTGCTGCAAAACAAGAGCAGGGGTTCTGTGAAGGCCTATGAAAGTTCTCTAATTCCTTCTGTGCCAAATGTAATATACCATTGCAGCCTAAGCAAGCTTCCTAACTATATTATGAATGTTTTTTCCACTGAATTTTCCAACCAACCAGTTAACTTCAGCTTGCCTAGAGTGATAAAGGCTTACTGCTATTGCATAAGCTTGAAACCTGCAACCAGATAGATCGTGAACAGGGGCATGAGAAGAAGAGATGCTGCAAATTTTCCTCCTCTTGACTGCAAAGTAAACAGATTGCATTGGCGATGACTCCCCTTTCTAAGTGCTTTAGTTCTGAGTTTTTCCTTAATTGCCATCTAGAGAATAAACTGTGTCTAGGAATGCATTTAGGAAACCTGATCAGCTTGTGCCAGTGCACAATTGGCCAATGAATTCGAATGGAATCCTAGGTTGCAAAAGCATTATATTTATGGATAGAGGAGATCATCCATTCAACCCTATCAACCCTTTTAAGGATTGGGAGAAAATGAGGGCATGCATGTAGGAGGAAAAGGCCAAGTCCAACCACCATTTAGAGGAATTTCTGAAGCCTGAATTGTTTGAGGACCAAAGAAAAAAGAGGACGTAAAGGGTGCCGAGTATCAAACCAAATGAAGGTGCCATTACCATCCCCACTAGGGTGATTGATAAAAGGTCTAGCACTGGCCCTGACCTGAAGCAACTTCATCCAGGTCCAAGAGCAATTTGAAGGAATGCCCATATTTCAGAGGAATTTATCTTTTATCAGGTACTTTTAACTGCATTGCACTCATAGAAAACTATGTTTAGAGCATGTAGCCCAAAGGTGCCTAAGTAGAGAAGCTGTATTTCTATCAATCGCCCTTCTAATGTCAATGCCCCTTTCTTTCTTTGGCTTGCATTGATTTTCCTCGGCTACCTTATTGACATGCCTATAATTCTCAATTCTTGACCAAAGGAAATTCTTCAAAAGCTGCTCAATTTGAAAGCATATGCTTTTAGGCGAAACAAGATGTAGGCTCTCGTAGATTTGAAAACTAGAAGGGATAGATTTTATGATTTGAAATCTGCCTGCATAAGATAGAGACATGGAAACCCAACTCTTAAATACTTATTGTAGTTTCATCAATAAGTCTAGAGCAGTCTAATGCAAAGAGCTTATTAGACATTAAAGGAACTCCAATATATTTAACAGGTAGTGCCTGCTCTTTTAAAATTAGTAACTGAACTATAATCTGAATTCAAATAGAATAGCGGTTTTAATCAAGGTCGTACCTTAGGGACTAGGTTGAGTTATGTTAATTTGGAAATCAAGTCTTAAATTAATTCGAGAATTTTCTGATTGTGGTAACTAGATTAAGAAAAGCAAGTAAAAGTTCAATTAAATTAAATGCAATTCGAAAGAATCTTGAATCGAGAGATTGAGAAAGCCTTGAGGCTTTGAATCTACCTTAACGTCGTAACTTTGATTTATGTATTGGTTTGAAAAACAGATTGATTGATATGATTGTGACTTCTTGTGTCTATGTCCAATGATGGTTAAGAGGATTACGTGATTGCTAATCAAGTATAATTAGCGTAGGTTGTCTCGATTATCAATCGTGCATACGTATAAAACTATTGTATAACCATGCATCCAAAATCATAGAAATTAAATACAATTTGTGAAGTTAAGAAAATCCAATTCCATTGAATAAACATGCCCAAAGTTATACAATTATTACATTAATCAATCAACCCTAGAAAGTACAACACATAAATGATGTTATTTGGTTAGGGTGTAGAGAAACAAGCCCTGTCTTCAATGAGAACATGATGATCGAACCTTGAAAATCCACCCCTCTTTCCTAGGAGACTCTAAACTTGAACTAACCCTAAAACCAAGTTAAGAACACCTATTTATACTTTGCTCTTCAAACCTAACCTTTTTGGGTCATTTCGTGTATTTCACTCAAATCCACGTGACTTTTTCCCCGTGCACATTATGACTTATGCCGAGCGCATCAAGACAATACACTTTTCTTTAAAAACTCTCATGTGTAGGACGTGCACCCGAGCACACCAAGGCTTGCACCTGAGCACAATTCAACATTTAGCACTTCAGCTCTAAGCCTTCTTGTCCCACCCTGCACTCTTTCAATATTCTTGTTTAAACTCACTTTGATTGCAAGGACCTGAATAACCTACACAACATGCAAATCTATTAGAATAATCAGATAATAGTGATTACATTCTTACAAGTCTACTTTAAGAGGCCTCAATGTATACATTTCGGCACCTAATCAGTGCTCCCAACTGAAAACCAATGATACTACATAGATCAACTTTTCTTGGTCCTCAATTCTTGCCACCTATATTCTACACTAGTTATTAGGCTGCAGGTCTGATTACTTATGAAATTCCAATAAAGCTTGGTGAACAATGTTAAAAGACTGAGCCTTGGGATAGCACAATATAAACGATCATTAACAAAGCAAATATGGCTATTGTTGAGATCAGAATAAAGAGGTAAGGGGAAAGAGGGTCCCCCTGCCTCAACTCTTTAGCACCAGGAAAGTATCACTCCAAAATACCATTAATGGAAATAGAAAACTTGGGAGAAGTGATACAAGAGGCAATCCAATTCCTGAACTTCAAAGGGCGTTGAAAACTACCCAGAATACCAAGGATAAGCTGCCAAGAAAAAGAGTCAAAAGCATTCATGATATCTATTTTCATAGCACATCTAGGAGATGCATTACTTCTATGGTAATTTTTTACTAACTCTTGCATGAGAAGAATTTGGTCATAAATAGATCTCCCACAAATAAAAGCAGTTTGGCACGTATCTACCAAAAGATGGATGACGTGCTTCAACCTATTGGCGATAATCTTAGTAAGGACTTTATATGTAGTATTACCTCAAGATATAGGTCGGTAATTAGTCATGCCGTTGGGTTAAGTACCCTAGGAACAAGGGTTATAGCAGTGACATTCACTTCTTGTTTTTTGATGTGGGATAAATGAATAAATTCACTGTAAGGTGCCAAAATGGGTGTATAATAATCAGAGTACAATGTTTTGTTTGTGGCACCAGGTCTGTAGAATCAGTGATATAGATACAAAAGCAACATTATTTTTGCAAATGCCAAGTTCAGAAACAAAACATTAATGTTTTTAAATCAAGGATGATGTTGTTGGTATTAATAAATAAACTATGGGGATATATTTATGGAATATAGCAATAAGTGATGAGTTTTTTTTACTTAAGCAAGACAATCTTGAAAATCCTGAGCAGTGTCGGCTCCAAAACTTGTGGTTCATGGGCTCATGTAAAGTCTTAAATACTTTTTGTAAAATCATGAATAAAAATATCTTAATATGTTGATTTTGTTTTTGACCCCAAAAAAAATAAAATAAAATTACAAATATATACTTTTTACAATTGGCCTCGACATCGTCCTATATTTTGAAATTATTGCCCAATAAATGGGAATGTTCATAGTAGGATTAGGATTGGGATCCCGATCCAAATCAGGTATCTCATTATTGATATGATCAATCAAATAAAAAAAATAAAATATGGATACTTCTAAATTTTTTTGTAACTATTCATTTCTATTGAAACAAGAAGCCAACAAAAATCTAATACACATGTTTTGCTATAACAAAAAATTAATTTTAGTATTGTTGTGCGCATTTTCAAATGTGTTAAAAATTCAACAAATTTGACTAAATCAGTGTAGTTCACCTATACAAAATGAATCACAAACTCAAATTATCAATCATATTAAAAAAAAACATACAAGTGTAAAACTTATGATATAAAGCTACTTGAGTGAGGCAATTGTGATGGGAGACTCCACTGCCTTTCCTTTTATAACTCGTGGCCTCTTTCGTTTTTTCAATGAACCATTGGGGTCAATATTTTAAACAGTGGGTGCAAAATTTTGTTCAATTTATTTTTAACAAAGATTAATATTAATTTTTTAAAATGTTGATGGCGTCAACCGAGACAACAATCTTACTTGTGGCTCTGCCCCTGATCTTGTGGCCTAGGGCTCTTTCATTCTACATTTTTCATACATATATTGGAGGATTATAACCATGATATATTGTTGTCTGTAGTGCCATATTTGCAATTTGAAAGGGGAAATTTATGCCAATAGCATTATTATTGTGGAATTTTATAGCTTAATAATGTCTATGCCACTATGATCAAGAAATCGTAAAACAGTCCACTGAAAGTATGCTTGCCCCTTTTTGGGGAGCTGCACGGTTCCAAGTCCTGGTAGACATGTGGGGTTGTGGGTTAGAACTGAATGCTTTATAGTTCATTCTGGTTGATGTTACAACTGTTGTAAATCCTGAGCAAATCTAAGATATCATGTATGTATTTTGTGGATAAAAGTAGTTAAAATATCTGAACTTTCTTATTCAGATAAAAATATATTAAGATAGCATAGCGATCATTTAAAAGAAGAAATATATATTTATACAATAATGATAAACTCCGCATATCTCATTGGATTTACTCATGAAAGAATGCTTGTCTACTAACTGTGGGGTGAACTAAGTGTATGTCCATCGGAAGAATTTGTTTTGCTGGTGTGCAATATATGGAAGAACTTGCAAATGACATAACATTTCCTTTAGTCCAAAAGTGGAAATGAAAGCATGTGATATTGAATTGGTTTTAATCTGCAAGGCTGCATCACACTTTTTTTATTTTTTCTTATTTATTTTCCAATCCTTTTCTAGGAATTTAAACTCTTGTTCAATAATTAGTTCATTGAATTTGATTTTTCAGCTTTACTGAATGTATGTGGGTTTTCAACATACCTTTGTCATGTGACTCTGTAGATTTTTTAAAGTTACCTTAAAAATGGATGGGTTATGTAAATACTAGCATTAGGATCTGTTGATAATAATTACAGTGATTAAAAGTATTAGTCATTGAGCAATAATGTTATTGAAAAGTGCGACTAAAATGTTCCATTTTAGTCAACTTTATATTTGAAGCTTTGTCGGAAACTTGATGACTCACAGTACTTCAGACTCGGTCTTTTTTCTGTGTAATCTAGCTTTGCATTGGAAATAAGCTTTCCAACTGCCAAATACGTTTATTGCTGGTTATCCAGTAATGTAATATCTATTGGTGATTTTTTACCAAGAGATGCTTATCATGAATTCTATATGTTTTCAGGGCTTGCATTTGGGGACGATGACTTGGGAGTGAAGAATGATTTTATATAAAAGAATGTTTTTATATACTTCATCATTGGAGTTTCTTATCGTGCTTCCATACCTTTGATGATCTGAAGAGGCCAACAATCCAATACAAGGAAGGAGAAGTTCATAACTCTTGCTGCACAGAGAGCTTGTACATCTAAGAAGCCTGGCTTTTATAGTATAATTTGCTTTCAAATGTTCAATAATGAGAATTTGTGGACACGTTATCTTTAGGGTCACAAAAAGAAAGGACTCCTGTTTGAATAAGAGCCCGCCCTTCTCCACCCAACGCTTGCTGTTGATATGTTTGGTAAAGCTAAGCGGTATGAAGTGGCAATACAGAGGCTTATAATCTAGTTGTTTCACAGTTATTTTTGACTATTTGAGAATTGAAATCGAGTAATATTGCATGTTTTTGATATCAGCTGAATTTCAGTAATCTGTAAGAGAACTTACCTCGCCTGTCTTTGGCGCTTAATCTATTGGGTGATCCAACATATGTATGTTAGGTTTTCGTGTCAACATTAATATGGGATGACTTCATTGTTTGTGTAATATATCTTCAGCGGGCAGGGTGTAACCAAATGTACCACGGAGTGAAATCTCTACACTCTGTTCAAGTTAGCATTATGTTTTGCTGGTATTATGTTGCCGAGTTATGATATTCTTATCCATCCTAATACTATGTTAATGCCATTGAAAAGCTTCTACTGTCTTTGACCCCGCAGCTCTCGGCAAGGGAAGGAGATAAAACAGTTAAGCTCATTTTCTCTGCTTTTATGATAGGAACCAGTTTCTCTCTAGTTGGTGTGAGGCGTTTGGTTATATCCAGTCGGGCTTCTAGGCTTTTTATATGTAGATTATCTATGAAAAATTTAAGTTGATTTGATATATTGTCATAATTTTTGGCACTAATATAAGGTTTAGTAGTCAAGGACATTAAATTTAGAATTAAATATCAAGGACATTTTTAAATTTTTTTTGCACCCATTAACCTCCATTGTTATCCCTAACAAAAATAATATTTAGAATAAAATATCAAGGCCATTTTTAAATTTATGAAAACAATAGTGATTTTTTTATTGAAAATGAAGTGACTAAAACGAATTATATTTTTGTCTGAAAATTTTGTGAAAAAATCTCAATATAAATGTAATATCCATCATTATTGATATGCAAATATAATTAATCTCACTATATATATGTAAAAATTACTAGAATGTTAGTTATATTTGTATGTGGAGTTCATTCTTTATATGCTGTTTTACTATTGGTTGGTGATATCATATATCAATAATGACGTGATATCACTATTATATGAAATTTTTACTCAAATTTTGTAAAAATTTGATTTATCTTATCATTATATAATTTATTTTACGACTTAAATATATGACTTTTTTACATTGTCCATGATATACTAGTTACACGTAATACTTTCTTTTTGATTTTATTCGAAATTAATTGTAAAATTTTATGTGAAATACTTTTGTAACAATTTATTTAATTTTTTGTACTTAATATTAATTCAAAAATTATTATTATCTTCTTATTGTTGGTTATGAAAAATAAAATTGTAATTAATCAGTACCCCTCTTAATTTAATTTCTTGGTTCCGCCACTGGTGATGCAACATGGCCATAATCTTAACTTAGCTTCTCGTGTCTTGACTCCTGACTTTGTTTTGGGAATCAACTATGCTCCGAATAATGAAAATTTATTTTAAATCTTATTTTAAAATATTTTGTATAAGACAGATTTAAAATTAAGAGATGCGAGTGACATTTAGAATAAATATTGTATTTTTTTGAATAATTTTTGTTAAAAAATTTATAACATTGTTGTTTAGGAGAGTTATGTAAGATTATTGGGAGCACAGCATTTTATTTTTGGAGGATAAGATAAGGATAGGGGTAATCTTTTGTGTCTCCTCGTTTGCATTATTCATATTATCACACATGGCTTCACTTGCTCTTCCTTCACTCTGGTGGACCACTCTGCAATTTAATTGAAGTTTGTAAAAACAAAAGCACCTTCCGTTTGGGAAGCGGGTTGGCTTTTTGACTTTTTAATTTTTTTTTTGACTATTTTAGTTTGGACTAAAAAGTTTAGTTTGGGAAGGGCTTTTTGGCTTTTTGACTTTTTTTGTGAGAGAAGAATGTAATGATTATGGGTTGGATGTGATATTTTGTTTTTTGTGGCTAAAATAGCCTATTTTGTCTTTTGTGACTAAAATAGTCAAAAAAACCCCGTTTAGCTCTTGCCAAACGGAGCCTTGGGCTCTGTATGGCAGGTGGTTAAAATAATTAAAAAAATTATTTAAAAAGTTTAAAAATTAAAATATTATTAAAAAATTTAAGATTCATTTTCATTCTCTTTATTTTTTGTACATTTTTCTTTAAAGAGTTAAAAAATTATTTTCAAACACTTCCCTTTTTTTATTTTTTATTTATTTTTTTTATACCTCATATGTTAATCAAAAAGTCACTTATCAGACAAACTCTCAGGTTAGCTCTTTTCTCAAATTCATCAGTTTCAAATTCCACTGTAATAAAGTAAGGCTTTTTTAGAAAAGATAAATAAATTAGGTTTTAAATCACTTTTTAGGTATCTAATATCTTATTTTAAAAAACGTAGACTCTTTTACATGAAATTGTTTTATTTATTTATTAGTGATATTTTTATTTGTTTTTTGCCAAAGGTTATTTTTTGACATCTTTATTTATATATATATATATATATATTTTATTTTTTTATAGAGTGGTCATTTTTTGACATTTTAGAATGGTTTTTCTGTGGCAATTGAAATTAGTCATTTTATATTTTTTGCAATGAAATTCTTACTTTTAAGGGCGAAAAAATTTGATTTAAAAAACTTATAATCTTAACAATAGGGGATCATGATAAATACTTTTTTTACTTTTACTGTCTTGTAATTTTCTCATATAATATTGTGGGTGGTAATTTTGTACAAAACTTTCAACTGTTCCTAGGAGGAATAAGAAGGTGTCTTAGCCACGAGGCCGAGGTACACAATCATTAAAAATTACTTAGTCTCCGTTTGGGAAGTGTGTTGATTTTTTAGTTTTTTGATTTTTTTTGGTTATTTTAGTCTGGGTTTAAAAGCTTGGTTTGGGAAGGACTTTTTGGCTTTTTAGCTTTTTTGAGTTTTTTTGTGAGAAAAGAATGTAATGGTTATGAGTTGGATGTGATGTTTTGTTTGTTATGACTAAAATAGTCTATTTTATTTTTTGTGGCTAAAATAGCCATAAAAGCTAAACCATGGCTTCCCAAACGAAGTCTATCTTCGCGAATAATTATTGACTTAAGTAAAGGAGTGTTTCTAACTAAACATACCAATTGACAAGAATTCAATCGCAATTTATCAGAAAGTACACTAACATTTTTTTTTGTTACATCAGAATAGAAAAAGTGCACTAACATTGGTTTCTTGCATGATACAAAATAAATGGGACTTGAAGTGTTCACATATTATTTCATATTTAAATAGGCTAGAAAAATGAAGAGAGAATGAATGAGATATTCCTATCGAAGCATTAACAAACTCAGAACAATAAAACAGTCACTTAAATTAGTAGTGCCCTTTGTTATATTTGGTGAAAATTCATTATTATTTTGTTTAAAAACAGGAAAAAATAATAATTAAAGAATACTCATAGGAGCACGGTTGTGCTGCTTAAACAACGTGGTTCTATCCGGACAACAATTTGTCAGATTAGATGCATCATTGACCTTTAAAACAATTTAATTTTAATATATATATACATATATATTCTCTCAATCAGAAAAGTAGTGCATATTATATATATACACGTCGTGGTGGTGTCAAGATTTATTATCAGGGCAACCAATTAATAGTCAATACATTATGATGGAAAATTGGTTTTTTATAAGTTTATTTTGGATTAATTTTGAGCTCAAATTTGAGTGGGTTTCACATGTTTTTTGAGGTGGGTTCGAAGAGGTGACATGTTCCTTACCGTATGGCAAGTCACACGGTGAAGACGGTTCGTCAAAACCATTTATGAGTGAATGAGAATTTAACGTCGTTTTCGGGTTCATGAAATAGACAATTAAAGAATTAAATGTGGACTTCTTTATAAGGCTTATTCTACATTGAAACTTTAAGAGAGCTTGTGTATATATATAAACTCTAAGTGACAACACTTGGGTTGGGCCCCAAGAGGCACCCCAAGTTTGTAGAAGGGAGGAGTTATGGACAAAATGAATCTTGGTTCAGACCATCATGCGCGCACATCACCGCCGTCGTCCGGGTGCGGGTTGGGTCGGTTCTAACATTAATTTATTTGAATTTGAAATTCAAATTTTGTTTTCCAAAAAATGTGCCTCTTCTAGTCCGGATTAAACTGTTCTGGCACCGGATAGATTCAGTTATGTTCAGACAGATTCAAACTATTTGACAGCTTGAGTTTTGCATTTGTTCAAATTGTTTTGCACCTTTTCCATTCAAAAATCAAACCTGTTTGGGTCTATATATTCAAGGCATGTTCCAGCAGATTTTGGTTGTTCAAAAACATCTAAAAATATCCTGAAAAACTCCAGAAAAATCTGTCCCCTTCTCGGTTTTGCTCTCTCTTTGTATTATTCTTCATATTATTTTTAGGAAAAAAATTAAGAGTATAGAATACAGGTTTTGTTCGCTGTACAAATTGTTTGGAGTGCTACTATAATTTGTGAAGATCATTGTATCATGAGAGATAGACACTTTTTTTTTTTTTCCCCATAAGCACTGTCGCGGGGTGAATCTATCTTAAGAACAGAGTGTCACACACTCAACTTGATCTTTAAATATTCATTCGGTTCGATAAAATAAATCTTATAAGTTATTTATTTTATTTGTTTGATTTGGTTTCAATTTATTTATTATACATAGAAGATTGTTCCAACAATCTTAAGACAGATTCAAATAATTATGTTTTATATAGAATTTTTCGTTTGTTTCCTTTTCTTTTCTTCTTCTTACAGAAATTTTTTTCTGTGATTTTACAAAATAATATTCTGGTTGGAAAAACAAATAGTAGTTATATACTGTTTAACAGATAGTAGTAATATATTATTTATTTTCTTTGACAACTAGTAGTAATATACTGGTGTCATTAACAATTCATAATATTTATTTGTGAAGTTTGTCAGAAATTAATTTTGATTTTCAGAAATAATTTCTAAGTGTTCATTAATTAAAATTCTGTTTCAGTATTTTAATTATTGAAGTGTTACAGAAATTTAATTTTCTGTGTGGAATTAATTTACTTAAATAAAATTTTATTTTATTTTCAAATTAATTGAAAATAAAAGTTACAATTCTTGTTTCTTTTATTTTTACAAAATTTAATTCTATGGTTTTGGTTTAAATTTTCTGTGTAGTATAAAATTCTAATTATAATTTTGTTTTATAATTTAGAATTTATGGTTGCTGAAACTGGTCAAACTAATGTTCAAACCAGCACTGGTATGGTAGCTGCAATT